TTCATTTATTTTAGGTTTTCCAGTTTGGTAGAGCACACATTTTCAAAGTATGTCCTTGTGATCTCCAGATTCCTTTGGTGTCTGTTGTTATGCTCCCCTTCTTCATCTCTAATTTTGTCAATTTGGATCTTCTATCTCTATCTTTTAGTTAATTCAGGTAAGGGTTTGTCAGTCTTATTGTTTTCCCCCAGGAATGAACTCTATTTCATTGTCTCTTTGTATTGCCTTTTCTTTGTCTGGATCTATTTTATTGATTTCAGTCCTGAGTTTGATTATTTCTTGTCATACATTCCTTCTGGGTATGATTTGTTCTTTTATTCTAGACCTTTCAGATTTGCTATTAAATTACTAGTGTGAAACCTCTCTCTTTGTGTGTGTGTAAGCCCTTGTGTTATGAGTTTTCTCTTAGAACTGCCTTCATTGTGTGCCATAGATTTGGGTATAATGTATTTTCAATTTTGTTCCAGTCTAAAAAGTTTTAAATTTCTTTCTTATTTTCTGAATTAGTCCATTCAGTAGAGAGTTGTCCAGTTTCCACGAGTTTGTAGGCTCTCTATTGTTGGTGATATCCAGCTTTAATTATGGTGATCAGACCTGATACAGGATGCTATTTCTTGTATCTGTAGAGACTGACTTTGTTTCCAAATATGTAGTAAAGCTTGGAAAAAGCTCCATGAGCTGCTGAGAAGAATGTTTATTCTTTTGGTTTGGATGATATATTCTGTAAATATCTATTAGGTCCTTGGTTTATAATGTCAGTGAACTCCAGCATTTTCCTGTTTAGTTTTTGCCTAGATGACCTGTCTATTGGTGAGAGTGGGGTACTGATGTCTGCCATTATCAGTGTGTGAAGAGCAAATGTGATTTATGCTGGAGGAACGTGGGTGCCCTTGTGTTTCATGCACAGATACTAAGAATTGCGATGTCCTCTTGGACTTTTCCTTTGATGAGTATGAAGTATTCTTCATTATCTCTTCTTATTAGTTTGGTTTTAAGTCTGTTTTCTCAGGTATTAAATTGACTACAGCAGCTTGCTTCTTGGGCCCACTTACTTGGGTAGTGTTTTCATCCTTTTCTATGAGGTGAAGCCTATCCTCGATGTTAAGGTGTGTTTCTTAGATGCTGCAGGAAGATGGATTCTGTTTTGTAATCCAGTCTGTTAATTTGTGTCTTTTCATTGGGGGATTTAGACCACTGATGTTGAAAGCTTTCAGTATGCCGTGTTTGTTGATACTTTTTATTTTACTGTAATGGTGTGAGTTTTCCCCCTCTTTTGATTTGCTGATCTGGAATGACTTAGTCCTTTTGCTTCCTAGGATGTGATTGCCCTAAACAGACTGAAAATTTTCTCCTAGCTCCTTCTGTAGAGCTGGATTTGGGGATAGATGCCGATTAAATTTGATATTATTCTGAAATATTTTTATTTCTTCACCTATTATGATTCAAAATGTTGCTGGGTATCACATCCTGGGCTGGCAACTGCAGTCTCTCAGAGTCTGCTGCACAACTACCCAGGTCCTTGCGACTTTTGATTTTCTAGCGAGAAGTCAGTTATTCTAATATGTCTGCCTTTATATGTTACCTGGTCTTTGTCTCTTGTAGCTTTTAATATTTCTTCTTTGTTACACACATTTAGTGTCTTAATTATTATGTGCCAAGAGTGGTTTCTTTCTGGTTCAGTTTATTTGATGTTCTGTAACTTCTTGTATCTTGATAGGTGTCTCTTCTTCAGGTTAGGGAAAATTTCTTCTATGATGTTGTTGAAAACATCTTCTGTGCCTTTGGCCAGAGTTTCTTCTCCCTCCTCTATTCCTATTCATAGATTTGGTCTTTTCACAGTGTTCTAGATATCCAGGATGTTTTGTGCCTGGGTTTTGAGTTTTAGATTTAACATTTTCTTTGACTGAGGTGTCCATTTCTTCTACCTTGTCTGCGTGCCTGAGACTCTCTCTTCCATGTCTTACATTCTGTTGCTGAGACTTGCTAGGTTTTTACTGGACTCCCCAAATTCAAATTTTTCATTTCCATTTTCTCTCAGTTCGGGTTTTCTTAAGTCATCTATTCATGTCATTAACTGTTTTTATTATTTCATTCCACTACTTGCTTGGGTTTTCACAGACTTCATTTATTTACATTTATTTATTTATTCATTCATATCCTCTGTAAGATCCTTGACCATACTCATATGAGCTATTTTGAAGTCTTTGTCTTGTGTTTCTACTATATTGTGTTTCTTGGGGCCTACTGTAGTAGGTTGACTGGGTTGTGGCAGAGATATATTGCCCTGGGCATTGATGATTGCGTTTTTGCACTGGTGTCTAGGCATCTGGGTTTAAGGGGATTGTGATTCTAGGTGTTGATACTTTGTTGGTTGGCTGTTTCTGGGTTTCTGTTGCCCTCTCTGGATGTTAGAAGTGTGGTGGCTATGGGCTGTCTGGTAGAGAATACCTCTGAGTTACTGCTAGGTGTGGCCACTGGAGGTCCTGGGTAGAGAGTATTTCTAGTTATTGGAGCTGACAGGAAGGCGTGGGGATGGACTAGAAGAGGGGACTGAGAAGATTTTCAGGAATGAGTCCCCAGGGATTGGAGGTAGGGTGGGAGGACAGAGCCTGCTGCAGAGTAGGGGATGAAACCAAAGAGGCTGTCCTGGAGGATGGAGGGGACAGTGGGAGTCACCCACTGGAAGAGGTAGAGAGTTTTTCTAACTATTGGCTCTAGGGTCCGTGGGTCTACCCCTGTTCCCGAGGTTCATCTTGAGGACAGTTTCCGGCCAGCCAGCTAAACATCTTGCTTGTTTCTGTGCTCCCTCTGCCCTCCTGATGGTTAGCTATAGGGCATTGTTGACTCCACCTTGGGCATGGAGGGAATTCCATTGTGCAGCAGTTAGGTGTCTAAGGATTTTCCTAAACTTGAATGACCCAGGTCTCTTGGGTATTCTTTCAATCTCCAGGCCCTTACCCGCCTCGCCAATCATACAGTGGCCTGCGAACTGTACCTAGAGTAACGCAGGCGTTACAATTGGCGGTTGACACAGATTCTGGATAGATTACTACTTAATAAGTAAATAAAGAGTTAAAATTTAAGATGTTTTGACCAACATGTTAAAGATAGATTTTAGAAGCCGGGCGATGGTGGCGCACGCCTTTAATCCCAGCACTCGGGAGGCAGAGGCAGGCGGATCTCTGTGAGTTCGAGACCAGCCTGGTCTACAGAGCTAGTTCCAGGACAGGCTCCAAAGCCACAGAGAAACCCTGTCTCGAAAAACCAAAAAAAAAAAAAAAAAGATTGATTTTAGTATTTCCACAGCCAGTGTCTGAAGAGTCTGTTCGTGAACAGGGCAAAGCCTATGGTAATAGGTTCCTCTTCTTCTCAAACAAGAGGAAATCCAAACATCTATCTTTATGAATGTGTTTTTGTTGCTTCACTTGCTCAGATCTGTAGAGAAAACTGCCAACACAGTCTTCTCCATGTAGTTTCAAAAGCTGTTTCTTTCCATATCTGATCACAGGCCCTTGAGGAAACCAGACAGGACAAAGAAAGTGAAAGTGTCTCTATACTTATTTTTTCTCATCTGATACTGTTAATCTCACCAAATCAAGAATAAGGCCACTGACACAGTTTAAAGCTAAATTTGAAGCAAGCTTTAATTAAGCCAGGTGGATGGGTTCTGACCAGGTCCATACCCAGGTTCCTAGGAAATGACCCAGAATCAAGTATGACAAAGGCTTAAGAAGGAAAACCCACAATTCACTGTATTTCCCATCAGGTCCAATCCGGGGCAAGCGTACATCCTGACGTATTTCCTGCCTACTGCCCACATGTGATCAAGCTCATCCAGTGTAGATGGGGCAAACAAACTTGTTAGAGTGAAAACACGCGGCATTCCAGTAACTGTCTGTCCTTGGGCAAGGGGCTTGCAGGTCAGAGGCATTTTTGTTTCCTGGATCTCTAAGGCATAGTAATTAACACTTAAAATGTAACTTTGACTCTCACAGATACATTCTCAATATAGCAGCCTATCAGAATCAACTTCAGCTGATAATCTTCCAACTTCCGGGTGAGAAGATTTATTAAGAGCTTTGTTAAATATGGTACATCAAGGATAGAAAGATAAAGCCCAATTGTAAGAGTTTACTAACTTAGCAAATGCTGGTGGAGGCAAGAGGAAATGAACTTTTTGTCTGTAGGCTCTGGTGAGGCCCACACATGGGGCACAGGGATGACCTACATTTTTTGCATATGAGATTAATGTACACAAAACTTGACATCATATTATGTAAAAAATGGTTAATACATTGGGCAACCTGTGGAAGACTGGGGGGACATTTCTTTCCTGCTCTAGCTAGTTCCTTAATTGTTAAGGACTGGCTTGGAGTGTAACATACTCTTCCTTTTACCCATGCGTTCATCCTACTTCTGGGAGGTAAAATGCATTTGATGGGTGAGTTCAGAGCTCTCGTAGGGATGAAGGATGCAATTGACCGGGCTTTTGAACTGGTCACCCTGAGGACCAAACAAAATGGAATGCTAAAGATCAGATTAAGAATTGTCTTTGGTATTTAGTTTTAAGACATTTTTTACTTTTCCAAGTCTACAAAGCTTGAAGTAGGCCTAAAATAAGTCAAAGATTTTGTTCCTATTTAAAATCTCACTGTTAGAAGAGCCAGAAGCTCACCCAGCTGTTTAGTAGAATAACACCTTGCTATTAAAGAAGTGGTTCAATTTTCTTACTTTTTTCATTGTATTGTATGTGTATAGGTGTTTTGTCTGCATGTATGTCTGTGCACCGTGTGTGTGTGCAGTGCCATCAGAGGCCAGAGAGGACATCAGGGTCCAGGCCTGGAGTTACAGAAAGCTGTAGACTGCCATGTGGATGGTGAGAATCAAAACCGGATCCTCTGAAAGAGCAGCAGTGCTCTTAACCACAGAGTCATTTCTCCCACTCTTGAGTCTTTTCGAGGCAGAGTCCAGGTTAAAAGATTTCTTTGTGGCATTTATTGTTAACTGTATGTTTTTGTCAGCACGTGAACAGTACTGAAAATGAACAAGTTCACACTTGTCTGATGCGGTACCACTGTTGCAATGGAATGTGCCGCTTCTTTGAAGTCAACACTGAATGATGAGCTGAACGGTTCTTTACACCGGAACCAAGAGTTGGTTCTCATCACGCGGGTGACATTCTTGGCCTTGATGTCATACTCAAATTGCCTTGACCCACGGAAGAAATAGAAGAAGCCTAGAAGAAAGAGGCCTGGTTAGTTTTCTTGCATAGCGCTCACTGCTCCTCTGTATCAATTCTATGAATGCAGAATCCAACAACATTGTAAAGAAAGGAGCCACTGTGGAATTACAGAAATGGACTTTGCTTCCACCCCACCCCAGGCAAATCACTGAGAAGGAAGCCTAACAAGTTTCAGAAGGGTTTCTGAGTGTGGTAGCCAGACCCCCGCTGTCAGCTAGCTCACCCCAAGGCATGTCACTGGAAAGAAGGCCCCTCTGAGTTTGTCCTTGGACTCCCTACCCTCATTTCTATAAATCTGCAACACTTTTTATCTATTTCAGGATTTGAGGTTCTGGTTAGATATCATGGAGACAGTCAATTGTGGCATCAAATGTTTTAAAAATATTATTATTCTCCTTATAACTGTGTATGAGTACATGTGCCTGCCATAGTATACGCATGGGGCTTAGGGGACAGCTTTGTGGATTTGATTCTCTCCACCCTCCTTTACATGAGATCCGGTGATTAAATTTGGGTTATAAGACATGACTGCTAGCGTCTGTGCCCACTGAACCGTTTTACTGGCCCTCAAACAATTTTTTAGATCGTCGGTTATTTCATGGGTCCAGGAGATTGTCTTTGAAGACCCAGAATGTGGACTTCGTGCATTAACTTACCTAAGGTTCTGGGTTGAGGATGTAGCTGAGTGGCAGAGCATTTGTCTGCTACTAGTGGGGCTCTTGGTCAATCCTCAGTACAGTGAAGAATTGCAAGCTCAACAAAGCCTCAACCAACCAATCCAGCAACCAAGAAACCCAATTGCTAAAGAGTCTTTTAAAATCTCCTGGGTCTCACCCAAAATCCTACTGCCTCAGATACTTGAAACATAGTTTTTTCATACATGGATTCCAAGTTATGCATCTCAAGCTATATATGTATGTATTATGTCTATGTACATATATTTACATGTGTACATCTGTATGTGTGTTTGAGAATCACTGCCATCTTGTGAGTTCAGTTATCTTTCACACATTAGGGGCTCTTTTAGGTAGTGTCTTAGATCAATGGGGACTAAAGTTAATTTTGGATCTCTTTACATAGATATGAAGCAGCATCTCAGAGTCCAGTTCAGCACCTCCTGTCTCAGTTTGGTAGTGTGGACAGGGGTAATGTTTATCAACCTGTGTATGTTCTTGAGAATGGTAAAATTATACCAAAACTAAATGTGTGTTGCTTTCTTCTTTTACACAGTGGAAGCATCGACACCCACCTTTATGCTGGAAAACAGCGTCCACACGGATGCCAATTCCTGGGAAGCGCTTCACTATCCTCTGTGGGAACCCTCTGTCCATGGCTTGCGCCATCTCATCATACCTGCATGAGAAGATTCCAAAGGCTTGATGTCTGTTTGGTGAACTTAATCTTTCTACTGCTCAGTTTAGTGTCAAGCAGGTTATGAGGACTGGCAGAAGAAATCATCTAATAGGACCAATGATAAAAACATGGCAAAGATTGTTTGACTGAATAATCGTGTGTGTGTGTGTGTGTGTGTGTGTGTGTGTGTGTGCGTGTGTGTGTGTGTGCGCGCGGATGCATACCCAGAATTGCAAACGTGCATGCACATACGCTGCTGTACCCAAGTTTTGATCTAAGTCCTGGGAATTGAACTTAGGTTCTCACGTTTGTAAAGTAAGTGCTTTGTTGACTGAGCCATCTCCCCATCCCCCATTTACCATCTCTTAGAAACAGTAAGAACAATGCTAGGGGCTAAGATATAGTTTTGTGGACAAGAACTGTAAACCACCACCACTGACAAAACCATCGAGGAAAAGGGTCACCATCTGTTAGAGTAGTTCTCCCTGAAGAATTCTTAGAGCAAATGCCGGCTCACTTTGTACCTCTTCTAGATGCTTATTGGCTATACTTCTGTCATTGAAAATTTGGTTCACATTGATAGATCATTATTTTTCTTATTTTTTATGTAAACTGGAGGGAGATTATCATCCAAACATCTTAGTTTGGTAAATGCCACACACCAGAGATTGCCCTCAATGTGATCCACCACGAGACTGCAGATTGATTTTGGTTTTGTCTATGTAGGGTGATACTGTGGCTGATGACTTCCTCCGAATCACATAAAAGGGTTAATTGTCAGAGTTACCTCCAGCACCAGATGCCCACAAAAAAGAAGGTTTTTTTTGTGTCGTGGTCACAGACAGCTGCATCAATTTTCTTCACACGTCTTGGGAACCCGAGTGTGTGGATGGATTTGGGGTAATCAGGCAAGACAGCATACCCCCTGATCACCCAGAAGTTCTCATCTAGAGAGAGAAAGGGGTATCTTCAGATGTTTTCTGCTCTGTGTCTTACAAGGAAAAAGAGATGAAATGACTTGGGAAGTTTGGAAATAACTGGATATCTATTTCCTCAGCTCCAAGCCTGGTTATCTCATGCTTCCATTGATCTTTTTTCTTGTTCTATTTATTTTTATTTGCTAAATATGACAGTCGTATAAAGGGGAACATAGAAGTGAGATAGATTGTCTACTTTATTTGGAAGAAAAAGAATGGACTTCTATACTTTTTTTAAACCAGTACTATTTTTGTGTATGGATGCTTTGTCTGCAGTGTGTGAGCCTGGTCCCCGTGGTCTTAGTTACAGCATCTACTGCTGTGAAGAGACACCATGACCACAGTAACTCTGATAAGGAAAACATTTCATTGGTTGGCTTACAGTTTCAGAGATTCAGTCCATTGTCGTCACGGTAGACATGGTGGCATGCAGGCAGGTATGGTCCTGGAGAATCGGCTGAGAGCTAGATATGTTGTTCCATGGGCAACAGGACATGAACTTTCTGTCACACTGAGAGTAGCTTGAGCAAAAGAGACCTCAAAGCCCACTGCCACGGTGGCACACTTCCTCCAACAAAACCACACCTACTCAAACAAAACCACACTTCTTAATAGTGCCACTTCCTTTGGGGGCCATTTCCTTTCAAACCACTGCACCCATGGAGGCCAGAAGAGGTCATTGAATCCGTTAAGACTATTGTAAACTGTGGTGTGGATGTGGGACATCGAACCCGGGACCTGTGGAAGAGCAGCCAGCTCTCTTAACTGCTGACCAGCTCTGGACTGTCATAGTTTTTATCATATGTATTTCTTTCAGTGAGTTGTCGTAGCCGTAGAGAGAGCCTAGTTTATCATTACTTATGACAGGGATATAAATTAGGGGAAAAGCTCTGTCATTCAGCTTATGATGAGGACTGTAGTTGACCGAAATACCCACTGTCCTATTTAGGAAAGAGGAGGAAGAGCCAGGCAAGTTTACCTTTGAACACAAGAATCTGATCTCTGGGGCTTTCATAGGCAGCTTGAAGGTCAGCTGGCAGAGATGGCCAGAAGGAAGCAATTGACTCAAATTCCACATCAGCAATATCAGAGTAGGTCCTCCATAAGTGCCTGGGGAAATGCAAAACACTTCACACATGTTGTCCCAGTGTCTGAGTGCATCAGCAGGTGGCAGCCTGCTGTTTGTGTTTTCTGTGGCACTTGTGTGTAGGTGCGGTATGCATGCATGTGTGTACGCCTCTTATGTATGAGGGGCAAACATGTGACTGGTGTTTTATGCCTGGGTGCGGAGGCTGCAGGTTGCCTCTGGGTATCTTCTTTAATTGTTTTCCACTTCACTTATTGAGGAAGAGTCTCTTGCTGTGGTGTGCTGACATGCTTAGCAGCAGGCTCTCCAGGCAGGTGGGAGACATGGATATTAATAGATGCAGATTCCCAGGGTACAAGTACTCCCGCAGATATGAACTGATGTGTAAAGGTCCCCAACGTTTAACAGCAGCTTCCTAAAATCAGCTGTACATTGACTTTGAGACAATCTTCAGATCAATGTTCATTTTAGCCAAGAAGCTCTAGCAAGTTAAATTTGCTTAAAATACTTCGAATTAATTTTCCAAATAAGTGTGAGATGTATGCATATAATAAAACATTTGAATAGTATGTGCATTGTCAAATGCGAAGCACGTGGGATCTTACAGAGACCAGGACTTCCGGTTTACCTCCAGGTTCCTTTGAAAAGAGGGGTCTTTATAAGAAGGTGAGGTGTCAAGGGGATAGGTTTACCTGCCTTTAAAGAACATGACTTCTCTGCGGAAGGTAGTGATAGCATCCATAGCTAGGCCAGGGTCTGTACAGGCACGGGGCTCAGTGGCTTTCTTTGGCTTGGTGGGTGTCTTGGGTGGACTTCCTTCAGGGAGAAAAGAAAGACTATGGTGGGTTCAGAAGTCATAGGAACTGTGTCCACACCAGGCTCTTACCCAAGCCCAGGTTTACTTCATGATAATGTTTCAGGATGCAACCATCTGCGTTTCCTCCTCTCTGAAAAGCTTTCTGTTTAGTTACATACACATTTAGTTGCCCGATGCTGCTCACCATAGATGGATTGGATCCCGTCAATATCATCCTGGGAAAGTGGGTGTTTGCTAGGGTCCAGGGAGACGTAATTGGGAAACATCAAGGCTGTTTGATCATTGGAGTGAGAGAGCCCCAGAGAGTGACCAAATTCATGAGCAGCCACAAGAAACAAGTTGAACCCTTGATAAAAACAGAAAACATGTCTGTGGGAATTGACGAAGAAATTGACCTCAGCGGGCAGAGACTGGAGAGCACTCACTCAGAGATGAGTAGTATTGCTTAGCTGGCAGGGTAGGACACACTTTTATTTCCTGGAACCAGGAGGCAGAGGCAGGCAGGTCTCTTTATGTTCTAGGTTAACTTGGTCTACACGTATTCCAGGCTAGCCAAGTTTACATGGTGAGATCCTGTCTCAAGAACAAAGCAAAACAAATCAAAAACAAGTTGATGGTATTATTTTAAGAAATGGACCAGCCAGTTTTGGGACTGCTTGACTTTATACGATCATCTTACGTTCTTCTGTGGTCCTCCACCAACTGACTGCGAAAGTCCCAGTTTCTTCCTTTAGCCTAACAATCCAACCCTTGCCCTTTTCCAACCACAGACTCCTTTGCACAGCCCTTTGGCCTCATTTCCAGTCTCACTTTGATTTCTCATCTATACTAAGTTCTATTTTATTTTATTTTATTTTATTTTATTTTATTTTATTTTATGAGTTGGAGTCTCATGTACACCTGGTTGTAGCTGAGGATGATCTTAAACTCCTAACCCCCTCACCCCCCAGCCTCTCCTTCCAGGTGTAGGATCACAGCCATGCACTACCACACCCAGTTTATTCAGTCCTGGGGGTTGAACTCAGAGCCATATGCACAGCTGGGAAAACCTTTTCCAACTGAGCTCTCCTGCCCAGTCCTGTATTCGTTCCTCTTGCTCGGCCAGTGTATGCTGGCGCCTTCTCTCTACTCCAGAGGACTGTAATACAGCGGGCAGGTGACAAGTCCTCTGGAGCGTCCAGCCCATGCAGGGCTAAGTTGAGTTATATTTATCCTCTTTTTTGGGAAAACCAACCTTTCTAAACTTGGACCACAACTCTGGTCTTTTTAATAGTTCACCTCACATGTTTTCTTCGGCAGCTAGCTTGAAGCAATGTGTAATATGGCAATTAACACTAATTATTGGTTAAGGATAGTCAGATGGTGAAACCTTCCACCTCTGGCTCTGGATGTGAAAGTGAAGCTTGCTGGAGAAAGGTTGCCAATCCCGAGTTTGATAAATGCTTAGGCTGCTTCTTATAACTGGCTGAGCACGTGTACACTGGCTTTGAACCAAGATGAAAACCAGACAAATAGTGGTTGTTCCTCAGTAGAAGACAGACAGCAAACACACGTTCCCTCCTCCTCTCAGTTCTGAGTGCAACAGTCCTCCTCTGTCCCTTGTCTGTGATGCTTACTCATGTGGCAGGTCATGAACTCACCCCAGATTCCTCCTGTTGCCTGAAGCAAAGCTAGTGCTTACTTCTTGACCTGTCTCACAGCACTGGAGGAAATAGCTTCATGTGCCCAGTGGAGGGAGTGGTCAGGCTTTGTAGAAATTAAACCAACACAAGCAGGGTATTGGGAGCTCAGAGTCTGGTGTGATCTGCAGCTTTGCCTGCTGTCCATCAAGAAGGCCATGACTCTTACTTCCATGGGACCTTGGAAGTCAGACCCTGAGCCCCAACTGTGGAGGCACTGACAGGGATAAAAGAATGGTAACAGCCAGAAGCTCTACTGCAGCCTACTCCTTTGCTTAATAGCCACAGTGTCAGCAGAGTGGAGTTGGGTGCTTTGTTTAAAAATTTAACAGTACACTGAGGCTGAAGGGATTGGTCAGGAGTTAAGAGCACTGGCTGCTCTCCGGAGAATCTGGATTCAATTCCTGCGACCCACAGCTCCTGTTCCAGGCGATCTGATGTCCTCTGAAGGAATCAGGCACACGTGTGTTATATAAACATGTGTAGGAAAAATATTCATACGCTGAAAACAACACAAAAACTGTCCAGTGTAGTCAAGCCCATCAAAAATAAATAAATAAAACTAACATTCTCTCTTTAAGGGACTAGATCAAACATAAGAACTGGGTTTAATCCTTTTGCAGTTGGGGGAGGGTAGCTAATAGAGAAGAGCTATGATATGTGATGTCTTCTGTATATGTATTTAACGGTTGATAAATAAAGCTGTTTGGGCCAATGACTTAGCAGAGCAAAACCAGGTGGGAAATCTGAACAGAGAGATATATAGAGAAAGAATAGGCGGAGCCAAGGGGATGCCATGTAGCTGCTGAAGGAGAAGGACATGACGGAACCTTAGGAACCTTACCAGCAGGCCATACCCTCTGGCAATATACACAGATTGATAGAAATGGATTAATTTAAGATGTAAGAGCTAGGAATACATAGAATCATTGGCCAAACAGTGTTGTAACTAATAAATTTTCTGTGTGATTATTTGGTTCTGGGTGACCAGGAAACGAACGAGCAGTCTCCTACTACAGGAATACATTTTCAAATTGGTTATTTATGGGCCATATACCCACACAGTATTCTTTAACCTTGGGATTGAAAGCACCAGCCCTCTTAAGTTTTGTGGCTGTCTTCAAGCTACTGGTGACTGCAGCCATTGGTTTAGGGTGCAGCCTGGGGTGCGTATGGGTGTTAAGGAGCACGAATTGCTGCAAGGCTGGAAATTTTGAGCACACCTCTGGGGTTCATATAGCACACCTGGCATAGCTTTGCTACACAGTGGAGCAGCAGGCTCTGTGGCCATTCATAGTGCTATGTTAACGGGTGCACGGCTAAACAGCAAACACTCTTCTCACAACAGGACTGGTAACACCGTGAGTGCTCTGTTTGGACCAGACTACATGAGCACAATTATTATTAATAGTTGTTAATCACTTCACTAATGTGATCTAAGAATATAGAAAATTATGAGAGAAATTAGATTTGGATCCAAGAGGCAGCTAACCATACAGATTATTAATGTAATTTTCTCATAGTGAAAATTAGACTCACCTTCCCCATCCTTGGCTGTCCAGTTTTCATCTTCATCAAAGTGAGTATCACCACCTAGACCCAAACCAGGAGGAAAGGCATGGCCAAGGACTCCCAAGGGACCATCAAAATGACGAGGACACCAGCCATGGACTGAGATAGTTGATGGGGAGAAGAGTTAGCATCCTGAGATCTTAGAAATCGCCACATCCCCTCCCATTGCAAGACTTACCTCCAGTCCTAAAGGCTATCATGATGTCTGCAACCCCCTTGGAAATCTTGGTGAACATCAGTGGAGTGACCTTGCTCCAAACTTCTAGTGCTTTCCGAATAGCCTCATCCACATCAGCTCGTGTCATATCTGGAGTGTAGTTCATTATTCTGAAAAATAGGCAAAATTACAACAATTACAGATACATACATGCTCAAATGATCTAGCTATCATCTATATATCAAGTAGTGATCTATCTGTCTATCTGTCTATCTATCTGTCTATCTATCTATCTATCTATCTATCTATCATCTATCGATCTACCTACCTATTATCTATCTATCTTTCTTTTTTTTTCTATCTCACTTGTAGTTTACCAGTCACAGGCTGTAGTGACTTATATTATTGTTCTGTTATCTAACATTTGCTGCCACTTTATTTAAACAATGTAGTTTTATAAAACCTAACAGAGTTTCATTTCACTTTCTTTAATAAAACACGTTGACCAAATGCAACTTACAGCAGAAAAGGGTTTGTTTGGCTTACACTTCCAGGTTACAGTTCATCACTGAGGGACTCAGTCAGGAACCTGAAGCACTATGGAAGACAAAGTTTGTTGGCTCACTTCCGGGCTCATGCTTAGAGAGTGTTTCTCTTCTACTTATCTATCTTCTATCTATCTATCTATCTATCTATCTATCTATCTATCATCTATCTATCTATCTATCTATCTATCTATCTATCTATCTATCTATCATCTATCTATCTATCATCTATCTATCTATCTATCTATCTATCTATCTATCATCTATCTATCTATCATCTATCTATCTATCATCTATCTATCATCTATCTATCTATCTATCTATCTATCTATCTATCTATCTATCTATCTATTGTTTGTGTGGGTGTGCCTGAGGGTTTGTATGTGTACTACATGTGTGCAAAGGCATGCAGAAGTCAGAAGAGGGCATTGCATCCATTTGAACTGGGGTCACACACAGTCGACAACAGTGCATGGTCTTGTGGACATTGGGAATTGAACCTGGGTCCTCAGTTAGAGCATAAAAGCTCTTAACTAATTAGTTATTCCTCTAGCCCCTTAGCTAGCTTTCTTTTTTATTTATTTTTTAGTCAATCTCTTGTAGCCCCTTATCCTTAGATAGCTGAAAAGAAATGCCTCTTTATACTAGGACCCAAGATTTGAGATTTGGCAGCTTTAAAACACACACACATACATACACACACACACACACACACACACCACATACATATCTTACACACACACACCACTAACATATACTTACAGATACACCACACACACACACACACCACATATACAACAAACATATACACACAGATACATACCACACACACATCACAAACATGCACACACACAGATACACCATGTACACCTATACACCACATATACACATCATACACAGATATAACACATACACGCACACACACGCACACACACACATGCACACACAAGCAGCCATCCCATCTTTCTGTATACCTCATCTTGCCTCCAACATATTGTAGCAAACAGCAATGCTTCCTGTCCTGAGCTTACGCTGTAGAAAAGAACCTAGAGATTAGAGTCTCCTTCCCTAAGCCTGTGTCCTCTGCAACAACCTTTGGATTTAGTTTCTCTGAGGTTAAGGCAGCAGTATCAATACATCCCACAGCTTAGGTCTAACGTGGAGACAGCATACAGAGAACCCATAAAGTGGCGTGCATTGTGAGATGAGTTAGAAAGCCATTGTGATGGTTGCTTCTTGAAGATTAATTGTTTGGGTTAGTTTATGTAAGTTGGTGGAGATATTACCTGTATGTGAGGTTGTGTTTTCTCCACCCAGGCAGGGTGTAACCATATTGTCCCACATCAGGAACCCCACACCTGGGCATCTTCATGATCTCAAGGGTGTCTGAGTCCAGCTCTCCGGTCACTGTCAATCCAAAAAATGCTTGCATTTCCCGAAGTTTGCTGTCTAAAAGACTCCTGTTCTTACTTTGGACAAGATGACTCCCTTCTATTTCAAGAGAGTAGAACTGGTTGAGATATGCCTGGTCAAAATAAAAAAAATAGACAAAAAGAGGACACAGGCTACAGAAAAGCAAATATTCTCAAATGAAACTAAGTGGCCTGAGTCTCCTCTGGCAGCAGGGAGGATAAAAAGGAAAAAATAGCAAGGGTAGAGTAGGGCAGGCTGCAAAGGGGAAGGGGGGCGTCGTGTTTTCCTCCAGGGCCAGCAACCATTGACTTACAGGGGAGGAGAGTTAGCCAAACAATACAGTCCATGCAGTATGCATCCTCCACTAACATGAGCCACACGGCTTCTTCGGTGCCAATGCAGCTTATGCATTTTTGCTATTCCTTTTATTTTGTAAACTTCAGGAGATATCAGGGGTGATTATCTATTCCGCAAACTTACATGATTTAACCAAAAATATGATAAATTGACTGGCTTTCAGAAGGAATTGCTAAAGCCACATGCTTTTCCACATATATACATTCATATACACACATCTATACGTGCATACACACATTTGTGTATCTCTCTTTGGACATATACATACACAAGCACATATAGTTTATGTGCATAAAGGGTCTTAGATTATACATTTCTGCAGTTTGTTGTCCTGAAATGTTTTTATACAAATTTCTATCCTTGTAAACGGATCCTTTCTCCTCTCCTGTTGGCCCCTTAGTGACCACAGTTTGAAGGTGGAGCGAATTCAATCTCCTTCCCACTGCCCCTTCCCTTCACCTCAGACCAGTCATGTCTTTAGAGTTAGATACATGGAAGGGACCACATTCTTCTGAGACCCTCTGGGACTCTGCAGGAATTTGCTATCTTGGAAGGTCCTGAAAGAAGCCATACATGGAACATTTTATTGTCAGTTGCTAATAGCATGCGTTGAGATCCTACCTTTGCCAGTTGATCGAGTCTGCCATTTGTGTCCTTGTGGTCTGGAGGAAATGCAGAAGAAAGTGCTATAAAATTCAATAGCAGAAGGCCCTTCATTCCTGCCTCTCCAGTTAAAGCTTCTTCCTGTTTGCATGGGATATAGAAAGCTCACAGTGAGACGTGGCATGAACTATTCATTTAATTAATAACAGCAAAGGGCACTTGCCACGAAGTGTCCCGTGACTCCCTCCACCCTCGATAGACTGGGATGTTGCAATCAGAGTCTGTGATTGTTTATCCGGCAGATTTCTTACTTTTGAAATGAATATATTACATAGCACGGTGCCAAGTTGGCTTTCTCTTCTCAAAATTGATAGATTTCAGGATTGATTTTGAAATAATTTTTCTGCCTGGAAACATTAGCATATCTTTTGATATATGATGCAAAAAGACAGTTGCCAGGCCTCCTTAGCCTATTCCGCAAGGAAAGGTGAGTAGTTTGCTATCCGCCCTTTCTGCAGCCGCACCACACAGGACAATCAGACGCGATAGGGAGTCAAGTCAAAGCAGGAACTCAGTTTATTACTGTGAGCGTCAGCTTATATAGGTTAAGTGACATGTGATGTGGGGGTACCTCCAGCCAACGAGAGACAGTCAACCCCTCCCTATGGCTGGAGGGGCATCTGCCTAGATTTTGCTGTCTCATCCCCACATGGTAGCTTTGAGACTATCCTTCAAACTCAAGCCAGGGTTTTTTTCTGTTCTACATGTCTTGAGGTACAGGCCCTGAGATAATTTTGGCCCAACAGACAATTGAATCAGGAATTAGTTTAAGTAAAATACAGCATCATGTGGTATGGAGCCAGCTTCTGCATGAGTTCTGGGGAGCCTAACCAAGATCTGCCTCTTGCACAGCAAATGTTCCTCCCTCTCTTGTCTTCAGTTGTAAGGAGCACTATCTAGCTATCTTGGTAACTGTTCATTTATTATTATGTATTATAGTTTTGTATTTGAATGCTTTTATAATGTCTTTTTGAAGTTGATATATTAAACATTCTTTATTTTGATTTTTCTTTTTTTGACCAGGATTGTCTCTGATTTCTCAGACTTACTTATTTGGCCTCTGTTTTTCACACTGCAAACTTTCTTCAAATGTTTGGTGAGTCTGTGATGTGCAACCTGTTAGGACTTTCCTGGAAATTCCTATATTCAAGAACGGACTGGGGAATTGGAAACCTTCTTTGCGGGAGGTGGTTGTGTCTCAGGCCTTCCATGTATTAATCTGAGTGAGATTTAGCTGAACACAACAGAAAAATTTAAAATAGCAGATGGTTAATAATTCTAAAATTTACATTTCCCTTGTGTAAGAACATCCTAGGTTTGATAGTCTGTGGTTTTTCGGACTACTCCACGTTACCAGGGTCTGTGTGGTTTCTCAAGATCCAGCCACTGTACCTGCATTGCAGGCAGCGTAACATGAGGAAGGAAGGAAGGAAGGCAATTCGAATGTCCTTTGAGAAACACCACACAATATTTAGTTTACATATTTTGGGTAGGAATCAGGTTCACGCCACCTATCAGTAGGGAAGGTTGGCAAGTCTTGGTCATAGGCAACACTGAAGTGGGCTGCGAAAGAAAGAGACTGTGGGGGTGGTCATGACAGGGCTTCCATCTGTAGACCTACTTTTCTCCAGAATAGACTTCCCCAATTTCCCACCATCGCCGTCGCCAAGCAGCGAATCTGTAGAAGGCAACTTTGATGCCCTCTCTGCATCACTTCCCTTCAGCACACCTCTGATTTGTGCAACTCACCTTGTTGTGGCAAACCAAGTCTTTCTGCGTTGGGATGACACGGAGTGGCCAGATCAGTTTGAAATACAGCTTACAAGTGTAGAAATTAAACACCCCGGGAAATAATCCTCTGTAAATAGCGGCTGCGAATGATAAAGGTTTCTCCCACCTCTAGTATAAAGTAGTCTGTGGAATTCTCAGCAGGTCCTGGTGGAACCAAGACAGATGCCTGCAGCAGAAATCTTCATGACACACTGACACACGCTGTACCATATTGGCTTCCCCTCCTTTCCCACTTACTGCATGGGCTACCTCCCCTGCTTCCTTCTGGAAAGATGCACCTTCCCAAAGTAATTGCACCAAGGTCTTCCCTTAGGGGTTGCTTTTGAATGAACTCAACAAAAAAGCAGAAGAAACTCATAATGTAAAATCTAAGCTTAGCTCCTCGAGTCTCTTGTGCTCACTCAAATGTGACAGCTAGAAAAGGCCTGTGACTCTGAAATATGGCTAAAAACAAGCAGAAACTGAGTTTCCATTTCAAAATGTAAATATGATGTTTGGGTCAGCAATCTGTCAAGACTAGTTCACAGAAGTAGTAGATGTCAGGCAAAAATGAATCTTCTGCTTTTATGTCTTTAAAAACTGTCATATCAGAAAGTTTTAAAAATAGGGCACCTGACATTGACTGTGATTGACAGCCGAAGAGGCAGCTATGGGCACCTGACATTGACTGTGATTGACAGCCGAAGAGGCAACTATGGGCACCTGACATTGATTGTGATTGACAGCAGAAGAAGCAGCTATGGGCACCTGTAATTAACTGTGATTGACAGCGGAAGAGGCAGCTATGGGCACCTGACATTGATTGTGATTGACAACAGAAGAGGCAGCTATGGGCACCTGACATTGACTGTGATTGACAACAGAAGAGGCAGCTACGGGCACCTGACATTGATTGTGATTGACAACAGAAGAGGCAGCCATGGGCACCTGACATTGACTGTGATTGACAACAGAAGAGGCAGCTATGGGCACCTGACATTGATTGTGATTGACAACAGAAGAGGCAGCTATGGGCACCTGACATTGACTGTGATTGACAGCCGAAGAGGCAGCTATGGGCACCTGACATTGACTGTGATTGACAACAGAAGAGGCAGCTATGGGCACCTGACATTGACTGTGATTGACAACAGAAGAGGCAGCTATGGGCACCTGACATTGGTTGTGATTGACAACGGAAGAGGCAGCTATGGGCACCTGACATTGACTGTGATTGACAACAGAAGAGGCAGCTATGGGCACCTGACATTGATTGTGATTGACAACAGAAGAGGCAGCTATGGACACCTGACATTGACTGTGATTGACAGCGGAAGAGGCAGCTATGGGCACCTGACATTGATTGTGATTGACAGCGGAAGAGGCAGCTATGGGCACCTGACATTGACTGTGATTGACAACAGAAGAGGCAGCTATGGGCACCTGACATTGATTGTGATTGACAACGGAAGAGGCAGCTATGGGCACCTGACATTGACTGTGATTGACAGCGGAAGAGGCAGCTATGGGCACCTGACATTGACTGTGATTGACAGCGGAAGAGGCAGCTATGGGCACCTGACATTGACTGTGATTGACAGCGGAAGAGGCAGCTATGGGCACCTGACATTGACTGTGATTGACAGCAGAAGAGGCAGCTTATGTGTTTTCTGCACTTACTGGTTTGGCTTCTCAAAGGAAAGAAGGGGGAGAGGAAGTGAGCCTCTCCTCTGTCACTGCACCAGGAAGCACCTCGGAGTCCTCGGAGTCCTCAGCGGGATGCTGAGAGGACCCTCTGTGTTGGATTCTTTTCTTAAGCGCAGATGTCAACACACCTGAACTTTGATGGTGGCACTTTTTTTTTTGTTATTGTTGTGTTTTGTTTTTGTTTTTAAGCCTGCTACTAGGAATTGGACCTAGGACCTCATGTATGCTAGCCAAGTTCTCTACCACTCAGTAACATGCCCAGTGGTTTTAACTGCTGATGCACTATGCTGGCTTCCTAGGGCTTCTCTAACAAAGGAATACATATTATGTAGAGTAGAAAAACAAATTTATTTTTTTTCACAAAATCCAGAAACCCCAAATTGGCAAATGCCTCGGTACCAGGATCTGCTTGCTGAAGAAAATGGTCCCTTCTTGGTCCCTCCTGCCTGCCACTGATCGGGGCAGTGCTGGCAAACAGCCTTCAGATGCATCTCTGCCCAGTCTCTTCTGATAAGTGCCTCCACCTCGGGTTATTCTCCCCCAAATCCCTCAGAATCAAACATGGTAGGCAAATGCTTTATCTCTGAGTTATACGCGCACCCCTCCCTTTTCTGTAAGGACACTTATGGACTTAGGGCTCAGCCTAATCCTCGATAAAGCCATCTTGTCTCTTACGTACCATTAATTCTATCTGCAAAGACTCCAGTTTCAGATAAACATCTGGGGTGAAGATTTCTTTTTTTTTCTTGGCAGAAAGAACGGCATGATTCTATCTGCAAGATATAATCTCACAAGGAAGGAAATAATAACTCGTTTTCCATAAAGAAAAGGAATGATCTCTATGTTGTTTATAATCCTATGTAAAATCAAAATTCATCACTAGATTCTATGTTTGAAGAGATTGAGGAATACTGGGAGTCAGGTAAGAAAGCAGTAAAACACGAGGCTCAGGAGGAAAAGCCTGGATCAAACTGACGGGTGGCTTGCTGTCTCTTTGTTGTGTGTTCACTAGCTAGGCACAGGCTGTGCTGAAGGGTGTGCACGGGATGTGCAGAAGCTTCTGCTGATAACAGAAGATTGCAAACACCAGTTCTTCCAGGATGGCTGCAGCGTTAGTCGTGGTTGAGGAGAATATGAGCAGGACATGCGGGATGAATATGCAGGCTGGGCTCCCTTTTGTATTTATAGATAAGCAGCAAGGACATCTGACTTTGCTTCAACGCTGGGAACAGTTAAGCCATAAATTGCTTCTTGCATGTCTAATGACTCTGTGAGTGACAAGATTAAATGCAAAATATTTTGGTCCACTGAAGAAGAGGAAGAAGGCTGCAAGAAAGAGACAAATACCAAGTAAGCCAAGAGATCTCAGACATCTGAGTGAGCATCCCGCCAAATAGACCAAACAACACACAAGTACAGCCGTGCTACTTTATAAACTCGAACAATGTTGGTAACTTTTTTCCTACTTACAATTCTGCAGGAAAACTGCATCAACTCTACAGTTTATTCCTGGGAAAACACTTGCTATGCTTCTGGGATAACCTGGGTCCATGGCACCTCTTCTGTTGTCATACCTAATGAGAACAAAGCATCACAGTATTGAGAAGTACGCACATTTTGGCAGCTTTCTTTCAATCTGTGTATGCTGCAATGCATTCACTTACACATTCTCACACCGAGTCTTCACTGTGTCCCACTCAGTGAGACTAAGAGTGCCTGAATTCTCTACCTAAAGGTATTTGGTTATAAAACACATGGGAGCCACTGACTCCAGAACAGCATTCTGATCGCTGATCGGGGGTTATTTCTCAAAACTAGAGTCTATATTTTCTAAATATTTTACTTAATTAGTAAATTAAGCATAATCATGTGTGTGCACATGTGTATATAATGTAAATAAATGCATTATTTTAGTAATATTTTCTAAGCATGCAAAATAATGGGCCTGATAATGACCCTTTTACTTATACACACCATTGTTCATTCGTATTCATGTCTCCACTGCCCTCCCTTTAACCCCCTGCCTGTCCTCTTCCTCCCTACAAAGCATCCCTCTTCTGTTTTCTTATGTAAATAGCTCCCTCTTGTGCACCACATTGTGCCAGTGATGGGAAAACGTTCATGTGAGAACATCAGAACTCAACGCACAAGAAGAATCAAGCCTCTCCTTTCTCTAAACCCCACCCTAGAGCTTTACAAGTGTGTGAAGTTTTCATGTCACAGAACCCTCATCTTAATGTGATGAAAAAGAAACGTTCAAAACCTGTGGTAACATCATCTTGTGCTTAACCATATCCCCACTAAGTTTGTCAAAGACCGTGTAGATGAAAGCATCTCCAGATGTCCACGCTGATGGTTTGTACACAGGGCAGAGAAACGCAGATTTCAACTTTAGTGGAAAAACTCGTTCATCTCACCTCCAGCATTGGTTGTTTATGAAGAAGTATGTCTTCCCTTCATAGGAAACAGCTGCATCAATGGCTCGGACACTGCTTGGAAATCCATAGTTGGATATATCCCTGGGGTAACCTCGCTGGATGTCATAGCCATTTATGGCCCAGTACTGTCTGCCTGCCAACAGTTCAGGAGACATAATTAACAAAACTCTTTCTACAGTATAATACAAATACCACTTAGTGATCCCCACAGCAATGAAAATGGGACAGAGAGCCTGTGGACACCAAGAGTGTTGGAGAGGAGCTCTGGAGTGTGCGCACAGCCCTGATAGTTCCTCACTGAAGCTGTAAACACCAAACATTTCAATCTGTCCTTCAAGGCCCCCAAACTAGAAGTCTTGCCTGGTATGACTTATGTATAGAAACTAAACCACTGCCTTTATTCATCTTAAAAATTTGTATCTAGGATGAAGGCAGGGAAATACTGAAGATGGTCTCATTAGTACTGCTTGTTGAGGACATTACTAAGACCTAATGAGGGTCTAGCCTGTGCAAATTCTCTCAGTCATTTGTGACCATGTGGGGCTGTGCCTGGACTCCTGCAGGGGTCTGGCTAGAAGGATGCTCTTTCTGAATTATCCTGTCTGAAAACACTGTGGTGGGGCAAAGAGAAGTCTTGCCCTACCAGTTATGAAGATCAGAAGGAGGAGGAGACAGTCAGATATTACCTTTAAATAGGAAAACCAGGTCTCTGTCAAAGTCCTCATAAGCAGCCTGAATGCCACTGGGCAGGAATGGCCAGAACAGAGAGATGAAATTGAGGTCGACTTCTCGCAACCGAGGATGCCGCCTCCAGAAGTACCTAAAGTAACATAAGGCGGGGGGGGGGGGGGGGGGGGGGCAAGAAGGGGAAGGGAGGAGGGAAAGAGCATTGCTTTCTGATACCTGGCTACAGTGACCCTCGCATGGTTTCCACGGTGTGTGAATGTATAACATATGGCTCCTTCATGATGATGATGTTCATCTGGTGGGCCCTTGACAGATTTTTCTCTTCCTACCATGACAAGCCTAACATGGTTAGGGCCTCTCAGTGTTTAAAAGGTCCAATACTGAAAGAGCCTAACCACAGCAGAAACGCTTGTGGATGCTGGATGGTTTAGTGCCCTCACCCTCTGGATGTTTTGTGATTCCCAGAAGACACTAAGAATTTTAAGGAGATGCCTGTGTATTGGGTCAGAGGAAAGCTGAGTGGCATGTTTCACTAGAACTCAGTTTTAAGGTCTGAGAAAGGGACGTGTGCAAAGAACAGCTCAATTTGTACTTGTCTTTGAAGAAGTAAATCTCCCCACGGAGGGTGGTGACAGCATCAAATCTCAGGCGGGGGTCGCAGGCAGTGGGGGTGCTGGGCCCAGTAGGTTGGATAGGGCTGTTGGAAAGTCCTGGGAAAGAAAGACATTTAATACATGTGAAACTGTGCTACTTTTGGTGTGTTTTAAATACTTAGTAAGGTAGAGGGGAAAAGCCACTAGCTGATTCTGCAAGACACAGCAGATGGTACATGTGACACTTTCAAAGGCTTGGTCTGTTCTCGAGAGTAAAATGGCTTCTATTTAAGCTGAAAAGTCGTTGGGGTTCTATGCTTCCTTCCAGATTCTGAACCACCCTTCTCCCTCCTGTTTCCTCTTTCTGTCTTTTTTTGTCATTGAGAATCCACTTCCTTGTTCCTCACCAAAATTCAAACACAAGGATAGATCTCATATTAGTGTTTTACGCTATAGGATAAACATAACTCATTTTTTTTGGTATAAAAATTTACATCTTGACTGGACATGGTAGCTGTGGTGGTTTGAAAAAAAAAAAGCCTCCAAAGGGAGTGGCGCTGTTAGGAGGTGTGGCCTTGTTGAAGTAGGTGCTGTCTTGTTGGAGGCTCTGAGTTCTCATATGCTCAAGCTGTGCCAAGTGCGACAGACCACTCCCTGATGCCTGCAAGTCAAGATATAGGACACTGGACTGCGTCTCCCGTGCCATGTCTGCCTGTGTGCTACCATGCTGTGCCCTGACGATAATTGGCTAACCCTTTGAACTGTGACTGAGCCACCACAGTTAAATATTCTTCCCTTATAAGAGTTGCCATGGTCATGGTGTCTCTTCACAGCAACAGAAACCCTAAAACAGTAGCACAGGCTTTGTAATCCTAGCATTCTGGATACTGAGGCAGGATGATTGTAGGTTTGAGACTAATCTGGAGACTAATCTGAGACTAATCACTCTGTAGTGAGACAATGTCTCAAAATAATAAATAAATACACAATAATTTCCATCTTACTGAGTCTTCTCACTGTAGAACTAAGTGCTGTGCACATCACTAAGAAACACTAGAGTGCCAAGAGAGCTGACAGCATTGCAAAGAAAGTGACTGCTGCCATGTGTCAGGGGAGTTGGGATTTGAGTGAAGTTCCTTATCCTTAGAAATTCTGCCATGATGAGAAAACTCCTTGACATGAAACCCACACGCTTGATTTATAGGGCAACTCCATCCCAAGAGGAGAGAGCACTCCTCACCATCCCACTGCCTTCCGTACTTTCAGGGAGCAGGAGGGTGAGAGGGAGGGGATGGATCTTTCTCTGGTCCTCCACCTTCCTCCACCACAAATCACCCTTCACTGGGCATTCTTGACAGGCCTTATACATGTCTACTTAGGGGTCTCTGTGAGGATTTTGTTAACAGATGGTTCTGGAGGAGAGATGCTATTTGAAAAGGGGTAATCATGTCTTTTCAGAATATATAAAATTGGAAAGCATAAAAGCAGAGGAAGAAAACATTCCTTCCATCAAGAGATAATGATGGGAAAGCACTTCTGTATCTCCCCAAGGCCTCCCTCCCTCCATCCCTCCTCCTCACTCTTTCCTTCCTTCCCTCCCTCCCTTCTTCTTCCCCCATCTTTTCTCGAGTCAAAGTCTCACCATGTAGTTTAAGCTGGCCTCAGATTCCTGAGTGCTAATATGACTGACATGGGCCAGCACACCTGTCCTCCAAGCTTTCCTTCAAGGCAGTAATAGACATCTAATTACGAAAATCTAAGCTGCATGGAAGTCATATCAGACTGTCAGCCCTACAGGACCCTTGCCAACACCGTTACCGGTGACTTTCAGAGATCAGTTTGAGTTTCCCTTGTGCATAGAACCCTGAGATTCCAAAGGCAAAATGCTTGGAAGTTAGACCTGTTAAGAACAATTCCCAAATCCTTCTGTGTCCTGCCATGTTGTCCACATGACCTTACCGTAGAGAGTCTGAATGCCATTGATATCATCCTGAGGCAGAGAGTAGGTGCTGGGTTCACTGTAGGCATAGTTTGGGTACATCAAGGCACCAGGATCAGTGGAGTGAGAGAGTCCTAGGGAATGGCCAAATTCATGAGCAGCCACGAGAAACAGGTTGTAATCTGAAATGCAAGAAAATACGGTGAATGCTCCACACGTCGTGAAAGTATAATCTCAAAGATATATGACCTCGCCACCAGAGCTGCCCAGAAAGGAAACTTTCATGTGTTCATCTTTTTCCTCTCGTCAAGGCAACTAAAGAATGGCAATTAGGACACAGCAGGGTAGGCGCCAAGAATTATTAAATCTCAGCGCTGACACATCTGCCTTTCTTCCAGCTCCCACATTTCATGGATGTAGAAGGTTGGTGAAATGGTGGCAGGGCTGTGGGTCTCAGGATAGTAAGAATTCTGTTTCTCTTGTGCTCAGCATCTTCTGTCCCCAGGCTCATTGAGTCGAGCTTCCAAAGAGACAGGAAAAAGAGCCTGCCTCTCAGGGCTGTGGCTGGGAGGCAAGACCAACTTGACCACAGGATCTGGATGCAGCACAGCCCTGCCCTTCTTCTAAGGAGGCTCCTGGAAGGAATATCCACCGGAAGGAGGTCAGGGCATGAGAGCGAAGCTACTGGAAGCAAGACTGGGGCTGCTCTTTGAACAGGCTAACTTTTCAAATGAACCCTGTATTTCAACATTGCCAAAGATGTAAAGACTAGGCCTTTTCAAGTATTAAACTCAGAATATTAGAGAACAAGAAGGAGAGACAGAGGAAGGGAGGGAGAGAGAGAGAGAGAGAAACTAAAGTGGTCAGTGGTCAACAAACTTTTCATGCCTTGGGAGCTAAGTAGCCCCCGTCTCAACTACTCAGCTTGGCCATCAGAGTGAAGGCTCCTGAAGATGTGTAACTAGGTGAGTGTGGCCCCCTTCAGTGCAACATTGCGTGTACAGCCAGGGCCCGGACAGGCCTTGGCAGTGGTTTGCAATATTAGGCTCCCTGCCCACTGATGTGTGAATGCTTCTTTCAGAAATCATGTCTTAGGAAGTGATCCTGATGGGATCAGTCTTGGCTAGTGCTCCCGGGAGAAGGGCTAATGACTTCAGCTTCATTTGCTTATCCTTCGACCACGTGAAGATGCATGAGGAAGAACCGTGGCCCTACTCTCTCCAGGCCCTTCAACAGTGGGGAGTTAAGGTTCTCTCATTCATCAGCTTGTTAGTTCCATTTATCTTACAACAGCAACACATATGGACTTAGGCACTGTGTAGGAAATAAGGTCAATAATTAGCTTTTGATTTTTGGTTGGTTTTTCTGTGTAGCTCTGGCTGTCCTAGAACTTGTTCTGTAGGCTATAGATCTACCTGCCTTTGTCTCCTGCGTGCTGGGATTAAAGGTGTGCACTGCCACACAGCCCAGCTTACTTCTTTTCAAAACTCAAAGTTGATTTATCTTTATGTAAAAAGAATGTAAATGATTTATTTGTGTGTTTGAAATGTTACAGTAATGTGAGCAGATGTGTATTTGTGAACACACACCTTGATTTTCAGGGGAAAGGCGTTTGTTCAGAGGTTGCATGTGAGCCTCGCCAAGACCACTTACTTCTGGAGTCCTGAGTCCATGTTTCTTCTGAGTCAAAATGAGCATCTCCTCCAATATCCTGACCTGGCTGAAAGGCGTGGGCTAGGATCCCATTGGGTCCATCAAATGGAGAATTGTCACCATGCTCTGAAATGAGACGGCTTGTGCTTAAGCCTTTGCCTGTAGTCTCAGGTTAGCTAGGGAAAGCAGATTCCTTTCCGCTTACCTCTTGCGACAAAAGCAATGTTGATGTCTGCTTCTCCCCTTGAGATCTCGGTGAAGGTGAGGGGAGATGCCACACTCCACAACTGAAAGGCTCTCTCGATTGCTGTTTTCACTGCAGCCTCTGACAACTGTGGGGTTTGGTTTTTAATCCTGAAAGTAAGAAAGAGCAAGCATGCTTTGTCGATACGAGCAACACCTTCCAAACACACAGCTGTCATCCATTCTGGAGTGAGTCGCTTTGTCAAAGTGCACCCAACTGGACACAACATCAGTGTCCCCATTCATAAGACGAATATGATCATCAAGATCCCTCACCTAGGCAGCTGAGGGGTTTAAATGCACAGGAAGCACTTAGCTGTTAGCTTGACAAATATTATTCCACAAATACTATTCTTATTGCTGTTCCCAAGACATACATAAAAGAGCCCAAGTCTCTCCAGCAATCAATAAGCTTCTTTTCTACTTAAAAGTGAGTGGCAAGAGAGATGCTATGCTACCATAGAATTTTCAGGTCCCCGAAGAAAGACAACATGGTAAGCTTTACAATGAGAGACCCAGGTGGTGTGGGAAGTTCTTCTGTCTATGTGTTGCTGTTATCAGTTAATGAATAAAGAATCTGCCTTGGCCTGTTGATAGGGCAGAGTAGAACTAGGTAGGGAAAACTATACCAAATGCTGCGAGAAAGAAGGCAGAGTGAGGAGAAACAATGTAACCCCGCCAGAGACAGATACCAGTAAGCCACAGCCATGTGGGGATACACAGATTAATAGAAATGGGTTAAATTAAGATGTAAGAGCTAGCCAATAAAAAGCTAGAGCTAATGGGCCAAGCAGTGATTTAATTAATACAGTTTCTTTGTGGTTATTTTGGGGATGAGCAGCCGAGAACAAACAAGTGGTCTCCAACAACACCCAGGGTCCTTGCTTTCGCATCCTCATGCTCATTCTCCGGTTCATATTTTCCTCATTCACTATCCACGCTCATTCATACTCTGCAAGAGCAGGGTGTTTGTCCATTCATCTCCAGTGGCTCCCAAGTTATGCAGCGATGTCTGAGGCTTCATAGACTCCCATCACTAGCTGGGTGGATGAGTCCTTGGACTCTAGGAATGTTACCTGTAGGTCAGGTTAGTGTGTGCCCACTTTGGGCTTCCTGGGGTTAGCATGAAATCCCCAGAGTCAGGCACTCCACAGCGAGGCTTGCCCATCATCTCCAGAGTAGCTGCATCTGCCTCCCCTGTCTCGGTCAAGCCAAAGAAGCGCTGCATTTCCTTAAGCTTCTCCGCAACCATTGCACTGTTACTCCATGCAGACCGATATTGGTTGCTTGGTAAGTGGTAGAATTTTTGTAGGTAATTCTGATCAAAATAAACACAAGTCTTTGCTGTGAAATTCCCTCTAGTGCTCTGAACATTTTGCAATTCTTTCTAAGTCACCATATAGTGCAAAACAGGACCTGACAGACAAAAGGACAGTAGCAGAAATTGTAGATCAGGCCAGCATGATGGCTCAGTGGGTAAAAGTGCCAATTGCCAAGCCTGGCAAGCCAAGCTCCATCCTCAACTCCCACGTGGCAAAAGGGGAGAGCTGGTCCTTACAAGCTGGGCTTTGACTGCCACATATGTGTTGTAGCATGCAATACACTCCACTTAAAAAATAAATACATTTAATTAAAATAAAGAAATTTGTAGACTGACTTTGAAAGAACAATGCCTGTAGAATATCCCCTCCATTCATTGATCTAACTACTCTTTATTGTTTATTTGTTTTGTTTTGTTTTGAGACAGGGTATCTTTTTGTATCTCTAGCTGTCCTGGAACTCACTCTGTAGACCAGGCTGGCCTTGAAATCACAGAGATCCGCCTGCCTCTGCCTCATTAGTGCTGGGATTAAAGGCATGCGCCGCCACCACCACCTGGTGAGGCTCTACCTACATTTTAGCATAAAAATTAAAGGCTTACAACAGAGGAGGAATAAATCTGAATCACACACAAAAAGCTTGTCTTATTTTTATATAAAAAATTAGTACTGGCTTTTTGTTTTTACCTCTGTTGAGGTGTTAGTTGCAACAATGAGGATTCTTCTGTTTAAAACCCCTGTTTCACTGATGGAAAGAGGGTTTAATTATCCTCACAGAGAAATGGAGGTACCAAGAAGCAAGAAGCAAACAACATGTCAGGTCCTAGCTTATCATTCAGCAGCATTTCATTTGCCAAGATTTTGTGCTGGAAGGGGCTAACTCTCACCCGGAGGTGATGCTTGTGAGGATGTGACATGGCATTAATGGGAAGGTTGTTCAGCTTGTTGCATGTAGCCCATGTGGCATGCTTTGTGCCTCGTGTACATGTGACCACCTTGTACTGTGGAGGCAGCAGAAGGCAGCACTCATGGATTTGAGGTAATCCAAGCACGAGGTAATCCAAGTACTGTCTTTTGTCTCTGACAGGGAAAAAAATTAAGTTTTTCATTATGGGTTATCATGCCAAGCTTAGAGGGCAACTTCTGCAGAACAAACTTAGCCCACTCTGAACATGAACTTAGGGGTTACTGTGCCAGTCACAAAAATTACCAAGAAGAGAAAGAGCAGGAAAGATGCTTTCCAGAAACTTAAATACTAGAAGATTATACGTAAGAAGTCGGTGCTCATGTTCCTGTGTACAAAAACAGAAGCAGTCAAACAAACAGAAAAAGTGACTGGCCTCACTATACTGTGTGCTACTTTAGTTCCTTATAACCCGCCCCATCTCTGTCCTATCTTCTACACATGCTAGTATTTTTTACTGTTTTCCATACAGGAACAGTAGGCAGATCAAAATTGGATATTCCCCATTGTTTTTCATGTGGGGACTCTAGCAAGCATCCTACCAGTCTGGCACTGACATAGCACAGGACAACTGGGTTACAGGGTTACACATTAGGGAAGAATTTCAGTTCATTTTAAAAATACAAATATTTCTGTAGCCAGCCCCTCAGTAATGGACTTGCTTGCTTTCATGTCTAGATTTTCCAGGCCTGGCCTTCCGAGTCCCAGAAGGTGATGCTGAGCCTCAACAAAGTCATCCAAAAAATTTCTTCCTAGTCATTTAGACCCAGAAGGGAAAGCCACCGTCTGAATTCTGTAGCTTTCAGCAAATCACCCATAAATGAGAGTTCATTTACCTCAACAATTTTTGCATTTTTCTCTTCCAGGACTTCAGGTGGTACTGGAAGGGCCTTGGCAAGCTGTGTGTGGAGTAAGAACAGAAACGGAAGTGTCTTCAAGCGAAGCATGGCCCTTTCTTCTGAGACCACCTCGTCTGCTTTCCTCTGCCCGTCTGGCAGGTGCCCTGAAGTTCGCAGCTACCCCTGCCAATCACTGCTCCGGTCTGGTCCCTTATAAAGCCACATCTTGAGCAACTGCTGCCTCCAGACTGAAGCAACACAGTCAACAGGAAGAGAACGGCTCTTCAATGCTAGAATGTGATTGGAGCGTAAGAGCGGGGTGGTCCTTCAGCAGAAGAAAACACGGGCTGCCCGCCGCCAGGAGGAAGAGGAGGCAGCGGCTGGTGTGGAGTTGCCAGGCTTCCGTTTTCCTGATGTGTGTGATGATGCCGTACTAGTTTCATCGGGGAAACCTTTTAAGAATATTCATAGATCATCTTCAGATCAAACTGCACCTGTGAGCCCTGTTTCTAATCCGCCACTGTCACTTGTGTAAGTGAGAGAGTGGCCTGTCACAAAGACCACAGCAGCTCCTGGAAATGGCTCAGTACAGTGTTTGCCATACAAGCTTGAGGACCTGCATTTCACTCAGCACACAGGCAGCATCGTTGGGTGTAGCAGTGTGTAAGTGTGATTCCAGTACTTGGCCATGTATGTGTATGGGGGGAGGGAGGGGAATTTCTGTGGCTTGTTGGCCAGCTGGCCTAGTCTACTTGGTAAGTCCCAGGCTAATGAGAAACCCTGTGACAAAACAAAACTCACATGACAGAATTTGAAGAATGGTGCTCAAGGTAGTCTTCTGCCTCCACACACATGTGCATGGACACACACACACAAAGCATGGGCACGCACACGTAAATGCACACATGCATGTACCTACATAAAGAGCTGCTTCCGTAGGACATGGCTTTGCCAGAGAGGTGCAAAGCCCTCACTGTCTATAAGGAGGGGTTTTCCAGAGAAAGGACAAGGATTGGAATACTACCGTACAAACTAACATTTGTGGAATATTTGCAGTGTTCCAGACATGTTCACGCCCCCTAAATTCCCTGTCTATTCTCACACAGCCTTCAGTGCGACATGCTATTATTGTAGTAGAAGCAAAGGTTGGCAGACATAGAGGAGGCACCAGCTCAGTTTGTGGAGGACTCAGTTCCAAGGGTACAGTGAGAGACATTGCTCTAGTTCCCATCCTATACCAGACTCCAGTTCATCAAACCCCCATCTGAATCCCAGGCTGGAGCACCAGTACCTGTGAGCTCACAGCAAGTAGAAAACTGTCCTAGATTCATGGATGAGACAGGGGAGAGAATGAGATAGATGTTTTACATATTCCCAGAGTGATAGGAGGGTCAGTGGTGACTTCCAAACTGTGTCTACATAGGACACCATCTGCCCTGCCCTGCTCTGACCACCTGGCTGTCTACACAGGGCATCATCTGCCCTGCCCTCTCTGCCCACCTGGCTGTCTACACAGGACACCATCTGCCCTGCCCTGCTCTGCCCACCTGGCTGTCTACACAGGGCATCATCCTCCCTGCCCTCTCCACCCACCTGGCTGTCTACACAGGGCACCGTCCTCCCTGCCCTCTCCACCCACCTGGCTGTCTACACATGGGTCCTAGGGGTCTAACACATGTCTTCATCTTTGCAGACAGGAAGTACTTCACAGACTGTGTTATCTTCTCATCCCCTAAACTGAACTTTAAGAGATTTTAAAATGGTTTACAGAGATGTTTAGATCATAAGTGCTCAGTAACATTTTCAGTCTGTGTTGAACATAGCAAAGGAGAACCAGAGGCTCCATTTGGAAGTCTGAGCTCAAGGAAAGCATATGGCCTTCTGTTCCATTCCAAATGGACGCCATTGTTTCCTTGTTCGTCTACACGACACAGTTCCAGAGCTGGGACTCAGGTAAGGGTTTATTACCTGAGTATCTCCACAGGGCATCCAGGGGAATGCCTTTATTTCTTTTTCTTTCTTAACATATATTTTATTTGATTTTTGCAACCTCATCTCTGTTTCCCCTCCTTCCTCCCCTCCCAGTCCCCCACATCTCCTCTCTGCTCCTCCTCCATCCTCTCTTCCCCTATTTCTGTTCAGAGGACAGGCTGTCCTGTGTCCTTGCAAGTATTTTATGTTCTGACTGTTGGTGACCCCTACTGGCCACAGGGAATATCATTACCCTTACCTTCTCCCCTTCATCCCCCTCCTTTCTCTTGTGTCCTCTTCTCTTATAACCCCTCTTTCTCTTTCTGTTTGTGTGATCTTCTCTCTCCCTTTCTCTTCTTTATCGACTTGTCATGAAGATGTAGACAAAGGGACACATGGAGAGAGGAGGAGGAGAAGGCACATGACTTGCTCAGGCTCCCGGCTCCTCCTCCTCCTTCTTTGTCCTTCCTCCCTTCTTCCCTCCCTCCCTCAAACTCACAATGATCTGCCTGCCTCTGCCTCCCAAGTGCAGGAATTAAAGGTGCACACCACCACAGCCTGGCCATCTTCTTTTTAATATAGACTTGGACACATAGACAGAAATGCTAACAGATTGTGTGAGGAAACTCAGCAAACCTTGTCTATCTAGACTCCTCTTGTCCCCAATGCGTTATTGCAGAGTATGTATTTACACTGTGAGAAGATGTTTCACTGTGATTGGTTTAATAAAGAGCTGAATGGCTAGTAGCTAGACAGGATAGAATAGGTGGGATTCTCAGGGAAAGAGAGAACTCTGGGAAGAAGAGAGGCAGGGAGACACCAGAGAGACGTGGACCAATTTGAACATAAAGAATGATGGAGAGGTTAAAAAAAAGCCATGTGGCAAAATGTAGATTTAAAAAATAAGGGTTAATTAAGTTATAAGAGCTGGTAGAAAACAGCCTAACTAATTAATAAGGAGGCTCCGTGCTGTTATTTGTGTAACACATGCCTTTGGATTAGGGTGCAGGACTTCTCAGGAATGAGAAAGTCTTTACAGAGAATTTCTGTACAGCAAGCTCCAAGATGAAAGGTAGAAAAAGAGTGGAGTTTCTGTGACTTATCTTGGGAAAAAGATATTCTAGTTTCCATAAACTTTCCTGGGCAGAAATGAGCCAGGAAATGTGATCTCTCTCTCTCTCTCTCTCTCTCTCTCTCTCTCTCTCTCTCTCTCTCACACACACACACACACACACACACACACACAGTTTCAAGCATGCCTCTGAATGAAAAAAAAAAGGCCTTGTTTTTTTGCCAGCCTTGGAAACAATGATTGTCTTCCAGAGGCTTCAATTTAGTATAGAATTAGAAGACTATTTCTGTAGTTCTGGTAGAAAGTATAGAGACACATTGTGTTTTTCTTTCAGTACTAGCTTCAGTATACACACACATTTAGAGAGAGACTTCTCAAGGTTGTTTGCTTGCTTTTGGAGCTGTCATTTAGCACAGTGATGAGCAGACATACATTGCTGATTATATTTCCTATTTCTCAGTGGAAAACATGGCTTTTCATGGTTTATAGGACAATCATGAGGAAAAGCACACACATCTTGGGTTTGCTTTACAAACTACATACACGCATGGAGAAACAGGAGGTATCTCTTACATGGTGGGAACCGTAACAGGTCTACACCATTTAACCAATTTTGCCCTTCTGCTCTTAGTCTATTTTTTTAAAAAAAATTGCATCTTTGATACCTTCAGAACAATGCTTACATCAGCATGCTCAGCTAAGCTTGGGTCACTGCCTGCCCACCTTGCATTCGCTCTAAATTCAGTCCCTAAGATGTTGTTATATGTTAAGTTCCATCATGGAACACTCACTGGCTATTTTATGAAATCATCTAAGATCCCATTCCCATTCTGTGACTCTCCCCACCCTCATGTGCGACTGTCCTTGAGGTTATTAAGCTGCTAACTGGGGACTCTAACATCTCTCTGTGGGAGGGTTTGGCAGATGCAAACCCCCATCCCCGTTACCTAGTCACCCCATCCTCCTCCAGCAGAAATCCTACCAAGTTTCTTCAGAAGCACAGTATGAAATTTGGCCAGAAACCTGGTTTCCCACACAGTGACACCCACAGGGCATCTTGGTTGTAACTCTCCTATCCCAGCATTTGGTGTTCACAGTGAAGTTCAAGCCAGGGGTACAATTACATTTCTTCTTTTTTCTGTTGAAATACTTCTTCAATAAAGATTGTTTTTTACTAACTACTGTCCGACTCTGGTCCCTGCCCACCCCTCGTGTTTTTAGTTGATACACAATGTTGGGTCTCACTGAGATACTCTCATCCTCTGCTCCTCACCACCCTCTGCTGGTTCTCTTTAACAAACGGGCAGTGGCTTCTGCCAATGCCCATAATCCACAGGGGGTTGGAGATGATTGGGCTGCTGGCGTCTAGGATTCCAGAATCCTACTACTGTTGGTGCCAATGAGTTCCCATGGGCGTAAACTGTCACAGCCCAACCTAGACACCAAGGGACTGCCTTTCTGGGTCCTCTACCTTTCAGCTATAGTTGAACACGCACTGTTCTCTCTTTTTACTGTTGAGATTTCTCTCACAAATTCATCTAGAAGGCGATTTTGTACTTCACATTTATTATCCAGTTCTCACTTAGGGTGCCACGTGATACCCAGGAGGTCAGTTTCTCAGCATTGGGATAAAAGAGGCAGCAGTGCAGACAGTTATGTTGCTGCTGCTCCACTCTCTCTGGCGCTGTCCTCCATCCGTGCTCCACTTTCTCTGGTGCTGTCCTCTGTCCGTGCTCCACTCTCTCTGGCGCTGTCCTCCGTCTGTGCTCCACTCTCTCTGGCGCTGTCATCCATCTGTGCTCCACTCTCTCTGGTGCTATCCTCTGTCCGTGCTCCACTCTCTCTGGCGCTGTCCTCCATCCATGCTCCACTCTCTCTGGCGCTGTCCTCCATCCATGCTCCACTAGCTCTGGTGCTGTCCTCCATCCGTGCTCCGCCCGCTCTGGCGCTGTCCTCCATCCGTGCTCTGCCCGCTCTGGCGCTGTCCTCCATCCATGCTCCGCCCGCTCTGGCGCTGTCCTCCATCCGTGCTCCACTAGCTCTGGCGCTGTCCTCCATCCATGCT